GTGTGTGTGTGTGTGTGTGCGCGTGCGCGTGCGCGTGCGCGCGCGCTATAGAGAGTATTTCAGGTTGATGTAGCAGCAGTACAGCATGAGAGGAGCACAGAATGGCATTGGGGTTAGGAGCACAGACTTGGGCATTAAAAGACCAGGATCAGTTCCTGGCTCTGCTTCTGACTGCTTCCCTAACTGGGAAAGCCATTTTGCCTTCCTGAAAATAGGAGTGATAGATTCTGTAAGAGGGTACAAGTGCAGTTAAGAGAAAATACATGTAGAGCACTTGGGAACTCTTGTTGCTATATCAGTGTGATTGTTTATCATCTTTATTATCATATAAAAGTATTTGGACATCTGTGTTGGCCAGAATTGTTCCTAACAAACATGTACAGTTGTTCCAAGGTCAGCTTCTGAGAATGGTAGCACCCAGCCTTTCCCCCTGTGATCCTAAGGGCTGCACAGGCACTAGATGACATGGTACCTATTTATTTTAAACAGTATAGGATGTTTTTTGGAAGACTCACTTCCAATGGGCTTAAACATAAATAAAGGATATTTATTGGCTAATTATTGAGATGACCGCACATTACTTTTGGTAAGATCTTTACTGATCCCTAATTAACAAATCTGAGAATTTGAATTTTTGTCTTTGAGGCTAGAAGTCACTTAACGGGTGAGCACTTCAAGCCCAGCGGTCCAGAATGTAGTCTCAACTAGGTATTATTTGTCTCTACTTACCTCATGTTGTGCTACTGTAATGGGGTTTGTGAAGAACTTCAGGAAAAATGTCCATGAAGAGTGTGTCCTTAAGGCTTGCACTTGACTCTGTTATTGCCACTCACCTACCAGGTAGGCACTCCCTGGGCAAGCATCTCTTTACAGTATGTGTTGCATTGCATTGTAACTTTGTGTGGCTCTCCACTACACTAACAGATCCTGGGAGTGTGGAGGTTGTCTTACTCATTTTTATCTACAGTGCTCATTTTTAGCCTAGTGCCTGGGAAGTACTGCTCAGTAAATGTTTGTTCAATGACTGAGCAAATGAGGAATAGGTTGGCCCTGACTAAAGCCATTTCACAGTGACTAAACTGAGGAAGAAGAAGGAGGGGGTGAAGATGGGAGTGGGATGCGGGGCTGAGGGTAGGAATAGTGGGGGTGTCATTGCTGGGCAGAGAAAACTGTCTTGTTCTTTAATGTATCCTGTTGTTTAATGTATCCTGAGTCTAGCAAAGAATCCAGTGTGTATTGATTGAGTTTTCAGTAAAAGATGCTTGAATGAATGAAGGAAAAGACAAGTCCTTCAGTTTAACCCTAGACCTAGAATAAAGTGTATGAGGTATTTTTGGACACAAGCATTCCTGTTGCCTAGAACTGGAACCCCAAATAGTGATTCTCTCTTGTCTACTTTCTTACTTCATTGCTTAGACTGCAGGGAGTCTGGTTAGCTGCCTTTCAGATCTCTCTACCAAACTTCTAATTGCAGTTAAAGCCATGATCCTGGAATTTAGCTCAGGGTAAAGGAAGCCTCTTCTATTCTGTCCCACCTGCTTTTGGTCTCTTAACATTGGACTTAATTGTCCTGTCATTGTAAGGATAAGGAGAGGTGGAGCTCCCTGACCTTGGCAGTGTCTGTTTAGGAGATTGGAACCCATCCCTTTCCTCTAACCACAGACAGCTTTGTCACTGGTTACCAAAGCTCTGCCTCATTCTAGCCTTTTTTCCTGTCTTGGGGTTTGATAACCTTTCTGTTAAATAGGACCAAACTGTTAAGTTTTTTTCTGATGTTTATATTGTAAAAACAAAAAATATTGCTCTTTGTTGCTAATAAAAATTTGTCTATGGTGGAGTATTTCTTTGAAGTATTTGAGTTAAAACATTTAAAATTAATGTGCAGTGTTTAGAATGGTTATAAAGATAAGAGACTGGGAAGAGTTAGTACTGTTTACCCTATTGAAACAGTACTAAGGATTGGGATGTTGGAAAATACGTGCATGGTGCATAAGAGTCAAAGGAAAGGCCTTAGTTAGAATTTGGATGTCTGTTTCAGTTTTCACTCATCCAGTATTCTTGTTGAAAGAGAATACTATCAAAAGGGACACATTACCTAAGTAATAAATTTCCATTTGTTATAGACACATTATATATGGCTGTTTTCTCATAAAGAAATGTAAGAGATGGTATCAGGTACTGCAAATTCCTAAGAGTACTTTCTGACTCTGCTCAGCTTTTTGTAAAGAAGTTTTATCTACTATGAGGCTTATTTAGTGGGCACTTCAGAGTCCAATGTCATAGAAGTTTGTTAATTTTAAAGTTTTATGTAGAGTCTTCTTTAGCAATGAAAATCTTTAATAGAATAAGGCTTAAACCTTTGAATGTCTTTGATTAGCTCATTTAGCGGATTCGTTTAGATAAGGCACCAAGCCGGGATCTGAGAGCTAGAAGCTCAGTGGTTTGCCGACTATAGGAAAACTGTATATAGTACAAGTGTTTCTTGTTTGGTTGGTTGGTTTACCCCATTACCTAGGTGTCTTTCTATAACCTACATCTTAGTGTTTCTTGTTTATCATTTTTCTTTGAATTTGTTTCATTTTGATACTTTAAAATATGCAGAGAATGGAATCTTAAATTTGGAATTGTTTTTTTGTTTGTTTGAAACTGGAATTATAGGGATTTTTATGGCCTTTCCCCAATCAGTATTTTATCGGGGGAGCGGAAGAGCAGTCTTTGTGGGTTTATTAGGAAGGAAAACCATTTCATGACAGAATTGTTCAACTAAGTTTTTTATTTCTATGAGGCCTACTTTATTAGTTTAATTTTTTGGCTCTATGTTTATGCAGTAGATAGTTATTATATTTGCAACCATTTCTTATAAGCAGCCATCAAAGCTACGTGACTTTTACCTGATTAAGAGTTGTTTTAAAATAAATAGAATTGATATCTTTCAAAATATTTTCTACACCAGTTAATTCATTGTAATTGACCTCTTTTTCTCAAGTGCTCTTGCAATATGAAAAGGGAAGTTGTAAAGTTTTTAAAAGTAACTCAGTTAAATTTATGGTATTTCCCCATTTGTTGGCAGGACTTTGTGTCATTGTATCAGGATTTCGAAAACTTCTATACAAGGAACCTGTATATGAGGATTAGAGACAACTGGAATCGACCCATCTGTAGTGTGCCTGGAGCCAGGGTGGACATCATGGAGAGACAGTCTCATGATTACAACTGGTCGTTCAAGTGAGTCTCGTTTGGGAAACTATTTCTTAATAATAAAAAAAGAATTTCTTCACTTCAGAAAATAGTCTATTACAAATTTGACAGTATTCTGTCAAAGCAGCAATAGAAGCTGAAAGTACTGTGTAGCATGATTAGTTTCCTTGCCTATTGTTCATTGTTACTGGGATTTTTCTGTTACTTTGATACTGTGTTTGGTTATAGTTGAAAACAAAATTTGTCCTAAAAAAAAAAAAGGAAGGAAGGAAGAAAAACTGTCCTTTCTATTATGCTACTTACCAGAATCAAGCATCTGAATTTATTTCTGGATATTTTGATTTCTCAAATGATTCAAGGATACATGGAGTGTTTTTACTTAAATGGATTGAATAGTTTATAAAACTTTTATAGTCATAAAACTTTATTCTTTGTTTAGATTGCTCAAGTATTACATGATTGCATTGCCATTATAAAAAAAAGATAAAGGGCCGGCCGAGTGGCGCGATGGTTAAGAACTCGCTTGGGATGCCAGAGGGCCCCGGTTCGGATCCCACATAGGAGGGCCAGTGACACTGCCCTCCACAGCTAAGATGCTGAACAACAGCTCAACCTGGAGCTGGGCTGCCATGAGTCGCCGGCGGCGGCGTAGGCTGCAGTCCCTGTGGCAGTGGGTTGCCATGGGCTACCGCGTGTAGCCAGCAGCCAGCGTGAGCGGCCAGCAGCCGCAGTGAGCGGCCGTCCAGAAGCCGGCGACTGATGCGACTGATCTGCCTCGCCAGAGAAGAGCACAATGATGGTGCCAGCTTGGGCCAGTGAAGCAACGACCTCCACAACTAGATTGAAGAACAAAACGACAGCAACTTGTCTGTTCCCCTTCCCCCAATTCCCCAGCACTGTTCCCCTCCCCGCAATTCCCCAATAAAAATCTTTAAAAAAAAAAAAGAAAAAGAAAAAAAAAAAGATAAAAAATACAGATAAACTGCAAGTCCCGCATGACAGCTAACTGTTACTATCCCTCTGCAAATCCACTCCCACAAATGCTCACTTCCCAGAGGTAACCATTGTTATCAGTTTGTTGAATATTATTCTTCCAAGTGTTTTTCTGTGCGGTATGTATGTAATATAGATACTGAGGTTACACCCAGGTAGCTTTTTATTTACAAAAATGGAGTCATGCTATAGAAATCGTATTACATCTTGCTTTTTTACTTGCTAACATATTGGTAACACCCTTCCTGTGTATATTCACACAAGCTCATTATTTGTATATATTGTAGTGGCTCGTTAGTATCCTATAGCATAGGTCTACATAGTGTATACAGGTTGGGCTGCATCACCCTGTTTTAAGTACCCTCAAATCTCAGAGTTAAAAGATCAGTAGTTTATTTCTTGTCCAGGTTTTTTGTTTTTTTTTGCTGAGCCATTCTGCCAACTGTTGGCAGCTCAGCTCGGGCTGGGAATTGAACCAGCGACCCTGTTGCTTAGAGCTCACACTCTTGAGCGAGCTCTTAACCAACTGAACCACTCGGCCGGCCCTCTTGTCCACGTTTTATGTCTTTCGTAGGTTGGTGGGGTCTCTGAACCATGTCATTTTTACTAGGTGGCCCTAGCTGCCTGAGCTTCCACTATGTGGAATGCCACTGGTTTGTGTGCCTAGCGAAGGGACATGACCTATTGTGGTGATTCTTAAAGGATCCTTACACATATAGCCCCTCAAATGCGTGTGGGCATTGCTGAGTCTGAGTGTGTGTATCTTTTAATGGATAAGTACTGCCAAACTGTCTTCCCAAAACACAGTGCTGACTGTTATTCTTATCTATACTGTATGAGACTGTCCTAGCCAATACTAGATATGGTCAGTTTTTAAATCTTTGTCATTATTATTACTATTATTTTTAAAGATTTTATTGGGGAATTGGGGAAGGGGAACAGACAAGTCCTTTTGTTCTTCAGTCTAGTTGTGGAGGATGTCGCTTCACTGGCCCATGTTGGTATTGTCATTACTCTCTTCCCGGGTGAGGCAGTTGCTCGCTGGCCATTGGACTGCCGCTCGCGGCACCTCACGCCAGCTCACGCCGGCTGCCAGCCATTCACAGTAGCTTATGGCAGCCCACTGCAGCAGGGGCTGCAGCCTACGCCGTTGCTGGTGACTCACGGCTGCCCAGCTCTAGGTCGAGCTGTTGTTCACCATCTTAGCTGTAGAGGGCGCAGCGTCACTGGCCCTCATGTGGGACCCGAACCGGGGCCCTGCTGCTCAGAGCTGGCATTCCAAGCCAACTCTTAGCCAACGTGCCACTCAGCCAGCCCAATCTTTGTCTTTATTGATAAGTGAAAATTGGTATTTTGTTTTGACTCCCATTTCCCTTATTGGTAGTGAGTTTGAGCTGCTTTTCATTTGGGCCATATTCTCTCTACCTCCTATATATGGTGCTTCCTTTTGTATTTACCAGTACGTGTATTATCACATGTACGTATCTGACTTGCTCATGAGTTTCATGACCTTTTATGCTTTTGGAAAACAGGTACACAGGGAATACAATTAAAGATGTTATAAATATGGGTTCCTACAACTATCTTGGATTTGCACGGAATACTGGATCATGTCAGGAAGCAGCTGCCAGAGTCCTCGAGAAATATGGAGTTGGTGTGTGCAGCACTCGGCAGGAAATGGGTGAGTGTAGGCTATGTTTGGCTAGCTGATGTTCTTAACTTCTTTTGCTCAGGAGGGAATAATACTATTAGAGAACCAGGATATTAAGTGTCCAAATACATACTTTGCCATTTAGTTTAGATCAAGTAAAGAATTCTTTATTTTTTTGAAGTGATGGATGATTTTAACGCTTTCAATACATTTTGAAACATATTTATTGGTTGTCGAAAAAGTCATGACATATTTTTTTCTATGTTTTTCGTTGCAAAAATGCATCATGACTTTTTTGACAACCCAGTATCTTTTCCATTATGTTATACATACAGAATATATCTAAAAAGTTCCATAAGTATTTATTCATTTATAATTTTAATGACTTTTTTAAATGATAGTGGTCAAGAGTGCCATTTATCAGTACTGAGACTATGGGCAAATGAGGGTTAGTCTGTTTCCATACTTGTAATTTGGGGCTAATAATAATAATAATTCCTACCTTTTCAAGGGCTGTTTCAAGAATTAAATAAGCCAATTCATGTGAAGTGCTTATAACATGGTAAATATTCAATAATGCTAATTCTCATTATGAATATAAGTCTATAAAATGTAAAGGTTAACAGATTTAGAGAAAGATTTATTTTAGTTCAAAGGAAAATTCCAAATTCTTCCATTTTGTTCTAGAGAACTGATAACCATAGAAGTTATAAGGCATCTTTCTGGATATTTATTACTATGAATCACACCAAAACTTGGTGGATTAAAGCAACAATTCCTTGTTATTTCTCAAGGGTCTAGAGATTGGCAAATACAGCTCGATTGTTCTCACTCAGCGTCCCCATTGATGTGGTTAAAGGAGCATTGACAACATACAGTAATCATACTTACACCTTTATGGCACTTTATATTTTATAAAGTGCTTGAACACATTATCTCTTTTGACCCTCACAGAATGTCATGAGGTAGACAGCAAATACTACTATTGGCATTTAACAGATAAGAAACTGAGGCCCAGAGAAGTTAAATGATTTGATTAAGCTTTAAGGACACATGGCATCCAAGTTCAACAGTCTTCTTTCTCAGCATCTTTTCCCTTTGCATGTAGCCAATATCACTGATCAGTGTTGTTCGACCCTTATGGATTTGAGTACTGATGTAAAATCACAATGCAAGCTTACCAGTCAGATCAGAGTGAGGGAGGGTGCTATTTAACCTGTCATTTGCTGCATAACAAACCATCCCAAAACTTAGTGATTTAAAACAGAAACATACAAGGGGCCGGCTGAGTGGCTCAGTTGGTTAAGAGCTCGCTCAAGAGTTTGAGCTCTGAGCAACAGCGGTTCAAGTCAGCCCGAGCTGAGCAGCCGCTGAGCTGCCAACAGGTGGCAGGATGGCTCAGCTAAAAAAAATAAAAAATAAAAAATAAAATAAAATAAAAAAATAAAACAGAAACATACATTTATTTGCTTGTGATTCTGCAATTTGGGAAGGGCTTCTTGTTGATCTCAGCTCCATGTGGGGCATTATGACTGAGGAGGGAATATCCAAGATAGCTTCACTCACGTGTCTGCTCCTCACTGGGCAGTGGGATCAGCTGAGGTCTGAACCCCCACCTCCCTTAGTCTTTTATTCTCCAGAGCCCCTCTCTGTCCCACATGGTCTATCTTTACAACAGGCTAATTACAATAGATACTTTTACATGGCAGCTGACTTCCAAAGTATAAAGGCGGGTGTTGCCAGGCTTGTTAAGGCCGAAACCTGGAACTCCTATGCGTGAACAGGAATGGGAGATCTTGTTGGTAACCCTCTTACAGAAATTTCACCACAGGTGCTGAGTCTAAATTTATTCAACTATTGTGTTCTTTGTGAACATTACCTTAGCCTGAAGAGGATTTAACATGTAGACTATGATTTCTTTTTATAAAGTAATGAGGGATTCTTAAATTTGGGATTTGGTGGTATTGACTTCATTAACTTTCTCGCACAGGAAACCTGGACAAGCATGAAGAACTAGAGAAGCTTGTGGCAACTTTCTTGGGAGTTGAAGCTGCTATGGCCTATGGCATGGGATTTGCAACAAATTCGATGAACATTCCTGCTCTTGTTAGCAAAGTAAGACTTAGTCTGTCATTAATGAAAATTACTGTGATTTATAAAGCATTCAGAGCAAGCCAGAAGCTGTTATAAACCTTAGGCCAAACAGTTTACCCAAAGATGTTTCTGTCACAAATTTTTGGATAAGTATATTCCATGGAGACTTAACATCGGTTGAAGCTTTCTTGATCCTTTCCGTTTCCATTAGATGACTCTTGCCTTCTTCGTTTCATACCGTTTCGAAGGGAATTCTAATAAAACCTCATAAAAGGCTAAAATTATGGAAGAAAGAGTCTTTAATTTGGAAACTTATTCAACAGGTGGTTTTTCCTAAGTAGAAAAATATGAAAATACATTCTTGTTCTCACTGTAATTCAGATTGCTCAGAGAGATATGGGCAGAATATGTGTGTTTGTGTGTGTGTGTCTGTTAATATAGATTAAAAGTGGGCCGGCCGAGTGGCTCAGTTGGTTAAGAGCTCACTCAAGAGTGTGAGCTCTGAGCAACAGCAGTTCGAGTCCCGGCCCGAGCTGAGCTGCCGCTGAGCTGCCAACAGGTGGCAGGAAGGCTCAGCTAAGGGGGGAAAAAAAAAGGTTAAAAGTAATAATAAATACACAAACACACATTGTGTCTGTATTTTATTTTCTATGGGTAGAGTTTGTGAGGGGGTAGTAGAAAAGAAAAGAGATAGAGATGTTGTAAATCACATTTCAGCAGATTGGCACTGTTAGGTTGAAAGGTCCCTCAAGGTTACTCACATTTTAACATTGATATCTATGAATGGCATATTGACAAAATCAGTGGATTCATGAGTCAGAAGACTTGAGTTTTTGTTTGGTTGATTATATGGTCAGATTTAACTTTAGCTGTGTTACAATGTCACAACCTTTCTGAGGCTTAAATTTTCCTTTGTAAATGAAGTACTTGGATTAGGTTAGCTCTAACGCCCTTTACAGTGATATAATTGTAGGTTCCCAAGGAACAGATGAGGCAAATAGAAACCAAATAGCAAGAGAGGACATTTAAATCCAATTATATTGCTACCACATTAAATGTAAATGGTTTATACATTCCAAGTAGAAGACTGTCAGGTTAGATAATATTAAGTAGGTTTCCACCAGAAACCTACTTTATGTTTAAAGGCACAGGTAAGTTAAAAGTAAAAGAAGGAAAAAAGATATTGCATGCAAACGATAATCAAAAGAAGGTTGGAGTGACTACATATTAACATAAACAAGGATTTCAGAGCAAGGAATATTTAGGGGGATAAAGAGGAACATTGCATAATAATAAAGAAGGCTATTTATTAAGAGGACATACAGTTTTAATATAGACACCTAATAACAGCGCTTCAAAGTATGTGAAGCAAAAATTAATGAGACTGAAAGGAGAAACAGACAAATACAGAAGTGTTATAGCAATCTTAATTGCCCTCTCTCAATAATTGATAGAAGAGCTAGAACAAAAATCAGTGAGGATATAGAACACTTGAAAAACAGTCAACCAGCTTGACCTAATTGACATTTATGAAACACTTCACCCGACAGTGAAACACTTACCGAGATAGACCATTTTCTGGGCCATTAAAAAAGCCTTAACAAATTTAAAAGAATTGAAATTATTCAAAATGTGTTTTCTGACCATAGTGGAATTAAATTAGAAATCCGTAACACCAGGATATCTGGAAAATCCTCCAGTATTTGAAAATTAAGCAGTACACTATTAAATAACCCATGGGTCAAAGAAGAAAGGCAAAATAGAATGTATTTGAACTAACTGGAAATGTAACATCATAATTTGTGGGATGAAGATGAAGCAATGCTCAGATGGAAATATATACCTTTAAATGCTTATATTAGGAAAAAAGAAGAGTTTGACTCAGCCATCTAAACTTTCACCTTACGAAATGAGAAAATGAAGAGCAAATTAAGCCAAAAATTCCAGAAAAAGGTACAATGAAGGTAAATGCAGAAATCAGTGAATTAGAAAATATATAACAGGAGAAGTCAGTGAATCCACAGCTGATTCTTTGAGAAAATAAATAAAATTGCTAAATCTCTGGCCAGACTGGTCCCGATAAAAAGAGAAGACACAAATTACCAGTAGGAAGAATGAGAGAGGGGTACATCACTATACATCTTATAAAAAGATAATAAGGAAGGTATAAAAAACAACTTTATGCCACTAACTTCAACAACTTAGATACAATGGACAAATTCCTTGAAAGACATAAATGTATGGTTCTTTGACTTCACATTGATTTAATACATTGTTGTCCTGCATTTTGGCATTATACACTTGAGATGCTTATTTGGAATTTCTCAGAATTTTTCACACGAGAGGGTTAAATGATTTCATTTGGCTTCCCTTTCTATCTCACAAAGTCCAACAATCACTATCTAGAATTAGATTTCTTATATACAGACATGGAAGATACTACCTTAATTATCTTCCAAATCAAATGTAGTTGAAATGTTATTAAATATTATTTAATCCATTAAAGGCAGCAGCTAATCCAGTTTTACTATTTCTTTGAATCTGATATAAGACTTTTATGTGAGGTGGTTGATTATTCAGCTGAAAGGCAGGGGAGAGTGTATTGACTAAGAGCGTGTGTTCTGGAAGCAGAAACTTTGTATTGAGTCACTTATAATACATGCCTATGACTTGTAACTCCTCTGAACGGAAGTTTCCACATATGTAAAGTGGGGATAATAATAGTACCTACCTCACAGATTTGTTGTGAGGATTAAAAGTAATAATATGTTTAAAACCCTTAACAAAATGCCTGGAACATATTAAGCACTTAGATGTTAACTGCTGATATTTGATTTTTATTTCTGAACCAAGTATATAATAGAGCCTCATGGTAGGTTAGAAGAAAAAACAGATTGATGATACATAGAAATGGTGAATAAACCTGTCTAAAAAGGGCATGATAAACAAAAAGAACACAATTAGATTACAGATTTGCCAAGAAAAAAATTAACTGGAAAAGAAGAAAATAAAGTTGTGTAGAGGGAAAGGAGGGGATCCTTTTAAGGTATAATGGAACACCAAGAGCGGTTAAGTAAAGGATGTGTAGATGTAAAGAGAAATCCAGCCTCTCTTCATTTTTATCCAGTTTCTCTCAGTTTTTACGATTTTAACCTTAACCCACCCGCCCCTCCAAAGTTAAATTTAGACTTACAGAAGAGTTGCAAGAGAGTTCCTGTATACCCTTCATTCAGCCTCCCTTTGTGTTACTATCCTATGTAACAGTGGAACATATATCAAATCTAAGAAACTAACCTTGGTACAATACTGTTAACCAAAGTACAGAACTTATTTCATTTCACCAGTTTTCCCACTGATACCATTTTTCTGTTCCAGTATCCAGTCAGGTATCCTCATTGCATTTAGTTGTATAAGTGTAGATCCATGAATATTTTATTATTTGGGTCCAATATGATTGCTTTTTATTTTGTTGCTCAAGTTGTTCTAGTATTGACCATTGGGAAATCATTCCTGTGCCCTTTGAATGCGCCATCTTCTCCCCCTACCCACCCAAAAGCATTTTTCTTACTTTGTTGCATAACAAGGTGCTCCAGGCACTTTTTTTTTAAAACCTATCTTGGCCTTGGGGTCAACCAGTTCTCCATTGAGCCCTGGTTCCTTTTATTGGAGAATGGTATTTAGAAACCAAGGTTTGGTGTGTTTATTGAGAATGGGGTGTCATTGCTTCTCGCTCTTCAATGAATAGAGCTAGAAAAATATGTGAATGTATCCTAACTCGTGTACACATGTCTGTGTGCATGTGTATACATGTATGTATATAAATTTTAAAAACCATCAGTCCATATTGGTACCTCCAACTCTACTTCTCTTCATTTTTAACCTGCACATTTTTAATTGGGAAGTTTTTTTATCTTAATAACTTTTACACACAGTAAAAATTTCAGACAGACATCTGTCATTACAAGTTTCTTAAGTAGCCCTTCAGGAATATTCTGTAATAAATAGACATATATATGTAAGTCTGTATATCTCTCTTTTATTCTCATGGGAACTTGCTAGTAATTTCTGCATCTTTTTCTATCTGATCGGATAGTTTGAGACCATAGTTGACAGAGAAAAACATGTTTCTGTGTGCAGATCTTATAGTTTGGAGCCTTCATGAGATGTGGAAGAATCAGAACTGAGGAAGAACTAAAACTCCTGAGAGCTTCAGACTTTTCTTGTTGCCTTAGTAGAAACCCATGTTTATCTGTTAAAGCAAAGCTTGTTCAGGGATTTTTTAAGGGCAAAACTGAAGCCTACACTCCATGTCACTTTCAGAAAAGATTAATACGTGGATTCCCCATTGAACTCTGGATGTGGATAGGAGAATGCACTGTTTCCACAGACATTACTCCCTCAGCTGCCTTAACCCCCAAACACTTTTTCCACAGATAAAATAGTACATCATACCAAAACTCATGGAATTCCATCACACCAACAAAATTGAAACCCTATGAAGACTATCTGATATATCAGATTTTAGGTATAAATGAAAGCCTGTTGCTCTATAGCTGAATATGTATGTCCATCTCAGGACTGAAGAAATTAAAAAGAAATTAAAATAGAATTTTGCATCTACTTCTAAGTTAATTTTGCAAAGAAAAGATTATCATGTATACTTTTTTTTTCTTCTTGAAATTGATAGCTTTGCTGTTATACACGCTTTCCTTAATAAGATGTAATTTTCTTAAAGATTTTAGCATTTGGTAATTTGTGTAACTCAGCCCTTCCCCGCAGTGTCTTATCTTCCTGTGTTTGTGGTTTTGCAGGGCTGCCTGATTCTGAGTGATGAACTGAACCATGCCTCCCTGGTTCTGGGAGCCAGACTCTCAGGAGCAACCATTCGAGTTTTCAAACACAACAGTGAGTTAGTTTGTTGTGGGATTCACTGCTGGCCTTATTTAATATTAAGTCTTTGGGTTAGTGGTAGAGGTGACTTTAGTCACGTTAATATTAGAAAATATAAAGGTAGCTGAAATAGCATTTAAAACATCCTTCTGGTCCAGTCTTTTAAAAGTTATTCTCTTCCTCATTGTGATAAAAATAGAGACTGAAGGAAGCCTTTTGGTACAAATAAGACATTCTCCTTTTATTTGACTTTCAACTTTTTCATCTTCCTTGTGCACATGTCATTTGTTCAGTATGCATTTACTACATGCCTGTGGGGTATCTTGCCATAACACTGGGGGTATTGAGATGAACAAAGCAGGTTCCCTGATTGCAAGGATCTCTAACACGATAGACAAATCAGTAGTTAGAATACAACGGACAGATACGGAAGTACACATGTGAACAGATGCTATAAAAGCACAGAGAAAGGTGGCAGGCACTAAGCCAAAACTATCTCCTTAAATGGAAATAAATATCTTTATGTATAATTAACATAATTGTTTACAGTAAAAAAGGCATAACTTTTATAGTTAAAACAGTCCCATGTAGGGAGGAAAGATTACCAAACTATCTATAAAGTCATCTTTTACCAAAATATGTACATGTACAGAAAAAAGTCTGCAAGCATAAATACCCCAATGTTAGGTCTGTGCCCCTGGATGGAAGGTTTATGGGTGGTAAAAATTTTTTTTCTTTTCTCATTGTCTTGTCTAAAATGTTGTACAATGAGAATGGTGCAAACAATATTTTGTTTGATGTGAATGGGATTTATTAAACACCATTGTGTAACCTCTTTTCTTACAACACATTGTGAACTTTGTTTGGCAATACATGTGACTCTTCTGTGATGCCAGAGTGACGGTAGGTCTGGAGGTGCCCTTATGTAGTCCATCTCTCAGTTTGGACATCAAAGTTACTTCTGAGTTATTCTACTAGGAACAGTGCTACCTACACCCACATTTTTGCTCATGGTTTTATTGCCTCAGAATAAATTCCAAACAGTCTTAGAATGCCTGGTCAAAAGGGCACACACATTTTTGTACTTTTCCAAATTGCCTCCAGGTATTGTGCAAATTTTTACTCAACAACATGACTGTGACTCACAAGCCAACATAGGCCATTATGAATCATTTTAAATCTTTCCTACTCTAATAAGTCAGTAACATGTTAATTTTTATTTCTTTGATTATTAGGTGTCGAGCAACTTCTTATACAGCATTGTTTGTATTTCTTTATAAGTTGGCCATTTTCAAACTATCTCTTTTTTACTGATTGCAAGAGCCCTTTATAGTATCCTTTCTTTTTGTTGCAATATTTATTTTTCACTTGTTTTTGGTGTCTTGCTGTGCAGGCTTATTAAGATGTTTATATTGTCACATTTATTGTCTGATGACTTGGATTTTGCCTTCATGCCTTCCCCATTCTAAGATAATAAGGCTATTCGCTCCTATTTTCTCCTCGTAGTTTTGTGGTATATTTTTTATTTGTCTTTATTTTACATGGGATTTGGGGAGCACAATATGAAAGAGATACTGGATTTTTTTTCCCTAAGTTGATAATATGGTTAAACATTCTCCTATAGATATTTCCTTTCACCTAAAATTTTGAGTCGGTATTTATTTTTCCTTTCCTTTCTGTATGTAAACAGGAAACTAAAACAATGAGGACATTTTTACTTGTCTCTTGCTGATTGTCACACATTGCCCTCTGCAGCAGGACTGAGGCTTCTGATCAGACATGCTTAGTTCTGGGGCAGCATCTCCTGCCTCTGGTTAAGTAGCAGACCGATTGTGTTGTTAGGAATAACTGAAGGTATAAACACAGTCACAACCTTTGGCCATCTTATTTGTTGTGTCTTGTGATGTGTGTTTTTATTACCTTATTTCTCTCTTCTACCAAAGTCCTTTTATGAAAAGAGCGAACTCATGCAACCCTGTAACCCCTCCTTCAGTGATGAGCCATAAAGACTATAAAATTAGATTTTATGATGGGGTGTCTCCCACTCCTGTTAAATACACCCCAGATTTACTGTTGCATAGATTTGGGGGGGCGGTTCTTAAGGGCTGTATTTCAAGGCAAAACTTTCAAGTATGAAGTCTAGAGTGGTGGCAACAGTGGTCTTCAAAGCATTTATCTTTAACGGGAAAATTCTGATCCTCATTAATGGTACTACCAACCAAGTTGTTTCCTAGGCCTATTAATCACCTTAAGGACCAGCAGAGCCACAAAAACTGGGTTGTGTACAGGCAGCAGATCAAGTAAAACATGGAGCATTCTCAGCTGATTGCCAACCTTGCTTAAACTGAGATTCATCCATGCCCAGAATGGTGTATGTTTAACCCACTACCAAGATAAAGCTATTTAACAAGCCTTTATTGAGTATATCCTAGGTGAAAGGAAATGGGCATGGACTTTAAAGTTTTCCCCCCATATTTGCTTTTTAGGAGACATACGTATTTGTAGTAGTTTATTCATACACTCTTGCCTCAGTCTTCTTTATGTATTCATTTCCAAACAACTCACTAGGATTAAAGATACAGTTGATTTTAGAAGTATGAAAAAAGCTAACTGAATGGCAAGGTATTTGACATGAAACACTGGTCATTTCATAAGCATGCTAATCAAGTGACTCAACTGTACCACAGTCATTTGTGGAGTTTCTCTGGTTTTGAACATTTGTTACATTTTAGTTGACATTTCAATTCAAGCTAGCAGTAGCTCACTCATTTTGCACTGTCTTTTTTGGCCCAGTTCTAATTGTGTTAATGTCCTTTGCTAGCTGAGACACACTTCCAGAATAAGAAATGTATGTTTGCATTTCTGGAATGAAGTTAGGAAAGAGAAAGTTCCTTTATGCTGAAATGCTTTTGTGTGTGCTGTAGATATGCAAAGCCTTGAGAAGCTATTGAAAGATGCCATTGTTTATGGTCAGCCTCGGACACGAAGGCCCTGGAAGAAGATTCTAATCCTTGTGGAGGGAATATATAGGTAATCCTGCTCTAGTCTTCTCATCTTTCTGATTTGGCTCCGTGAAGCCCGTGAATTGTTAAACTGAAGGGAACGCTAATCTAGACCTCCTAGGAAACTCAGGAGACGGTGTGTATGACTAGTTCCAGTACCTGGAAGCGGAGTTAGCACTAGAAGAGAAGCCTTTTTGTCTGGCTCTTCTTACTCTTTCCATTATGCTATTAATACATGGTCTCCAAATCCCCTAATGTTTTTTTTTTTAATTCTTTTGTGTAATTTTAATTACATATGCAATGTGATGCAAGGTCTAATGTTGCCTATAATTAACAAGCTGTAGAAGAATCTGCTGTGAGCTTGTCCCTCTGTGGTGAATTAAGATCAGTTGTGTTCTGGTGCTTGTTTAAAAGATCCAGTCTCCTTTCTCCCAGACATCTGCCTAGCCATGGCATCATCTAACTTGGCCGGTATAAAACCACAGGCAGAGTTGTGAGAGCATTTTTAAAAAGCAATAAACTTTAAAAACCAATGATAATAAAGTGGCCAACTCCCAACTTTGAGAGTTAAGAAGTCTTAGTTTGTGTATTTTTTACTCTGTTTTGCCAGCATGGAGGGATCTATTGTCCGCCTTCCGGAAGTGATTGCCCTTAAGAAGAAATACAAGGCCTACTTGTATCTGGATGAAGCTCACAGCATTGGGGCTCTGGGCCCTACAGGCCGGGGTGTGGTGGATTACTTTGGCCTGGACCCCGAGGATGTGGACGTTATGATGGGAACATTCACCAAGAGCTTTGGTGCTTCTGGAGGGTACATTGGCGGCAAGAAGGTAAATGGGCAGTTAAGGATACAGATACTGGCTGCTAGATTTGTAATTCACATTTAGCAGGCAGAATCCCGAACCGGGATGTGGAGGTCCTGAATGTGTTTGTGGCTTAGGCTCATAGTTAGTGCCAGTGGGCTCACACTTCAGCTGCCTGGTGAGTGACTCTGATGCACTAAAGGCTGGTTCTGTTCATTGTTTGTTGTTTTCTTATTTGAGCGTCATTCTACACTACGTGCTGGTTTGAGATACAGAAAACCCTCTTGTATGAAAAAACCCACAGTGGTGCTGTTTGCCACAGTCTTCTGCTGGGTTTGAGTTGTGCTCACAAGTCCAAAGTAGTGGGGTTGTCATGGGAACCAGTGGGCATAGAAGACCAGCTTCCCTGCCCGTGGACTCAAATGCATCTGGATGAGCATAAAGACAGGGAGAAAAAAAGATGATCTGCTAGCTCTGGTGTACTACAAGGCATTGTTTTTGTCTTTTCAATTTAAAAATTATATGACAAACTCTGAGGTATTTCACAATCAATGTGGCATGGTGAAATAGGTTCCAACCATGGAGACAGAGGCCTTGGTTTGGATATTACCCTAACTTTGTGAGACCTTAGGCATACATAGCCTTTACCCTTTTGGTTTCCTTATTAGTAAAACAGACATACATATGCCTAGCTTATAAAGTTGTAGTAAGGGTTTAAAAAGTATATGTCCATGCTACAATATGGGTAAACCTTGAAAGCATTATGTTAAGTTAAAGAAGCCAGTCAACATATTATTTCTTCTATATGATATGTCCAAAATAGGCAAACCATAGAGATAGAAAATAGGTTAGTGGATGCCAGAGGATGAGGGGATGAGGTTGAAGGGTGTGAGTTTTTTCGTTTTTATTTTAAGATTTTATTGGGGAATTGGGGAAGGGGAACAGCCAAGTTGTTGTCCTTCGATCTTAGTTGTGGAGGGCGCAGCTAGCTCAGCTCCAAGTCCAAGCTGCCCGTCGGCAGCTCAGGGCAGCTCAGCTCAAGGTGCCATGTTCAGTCTTAGTTGGGAGTGGGCATAGCCCACCATCCCATGCAGAAGTCGAACTGGAAACCTTGTTTTTAGGAGCACGTGCTCTGACCAGCTGTGGCAGCTCAGTGGCAGCTCAGCTCGAACGCAGCTCACTGGCCCATGTGGGAATCGAACCGGTGACCCTGTTGCTCAGAGCTTGCGCTCTTAACCACCTGAGCCACTTGGCCGGCACTGTGAGTTTTTTTTTTGAGGTAGTGAAAATGTTCTAAAATTAGGTAGTGGGTATGAGGGTTTTTTTTGAGGTAGTGAAAATGTTCTAAAATTAGGTAGTGGGTATGAGGGTTTTTTTGAGGTAGTGAAAATGTTCTAAAATTAAGGTAGTGGGTATGAGGGTTTTTTGAGGTAGCGAAAATGTTCTAAAATTAGGTAGTGATGAAAGTTGCACAACTCTGAATATACTAAAAACCACTGAGTTGTACACTTTAAAAAAGTGAATTATATCTAAAAAAACATATTTTTTAATTTTTATTTATTTTTATTGGGGAACAGTGTGTTTTTCCAGGACCCATCAGCTCCAAGTCAAGTAGTTATCTTCAGTCTAGTTGTGGAGGGCACAGCTCAGCGGCCCATGTGGGGATCAGACTTGTGGGGGGCAACCTTGGTATTGTGAGCCTGTGCTCTTAACCAACTGAGCTAACTGGCTGCCCCTAAAACTGTTATTTTTAAAAAAACTCTCCACATTAGGGAAAAAATACATGCATGTTAAGTATTTATAAACGACACATCGTAGGTGCTCATAAATGTCCTTGATTCCTCTTTAAAACTTGACATCGGAAGCCTTAAAGCATGGACTTGCTCTTAATAATGTGTTGCCTATTAGGAAAAATCCATTATCGGTGGTTTTAGTCAAGTTTAACAGATTTTTACCTCATACCTTTGCTGATGGGACCAGGCTCACTTTGGAGAGTTGATTGCTTTTTGGTAAGGTTTGTTGCTAAACCAAGGATAGAAAAATCATACTCTGGGAGATCATTTAGGTACGGTATATTTTTGCTTTTGTGGGTTTTATACAATTTTTAGTATTTTTGAAGTGATAACACTGTTTTATAGCCACATTTTGTGTCTTCTTATTTGGTTCTGGTGCATAAGCTTGTTTGTGTGAACGTTTAGTTTAAAGATTCAGTAAAGTTAAAAGGTATCAGAATAGGGATAGACAACTGATTGTTTTGAAGTCCTTGTGTCTGACAGACAAGATTTTTCTTTATTCAGTGAGATGGCCTAAGTGTTCTCGTGAAAGGCCCAGTGCATTTCTGTTTAATTTCTGTCACATTTATGTCATTTTTATAAATTGTGTATTTGGAGGCTATTTGATGCCTTTAAAATTGATGTTAGAGAACTGTCTTTCTCTGGTTTTGGAGTGTAGGGCTGGGCTTCGCAGGCATGGGATAAGATGCAGATGCTCTAATGCCTCGCTTCTGTGAACTCCCCAGGAGCTGATAGACTACCTGCGAACACATTCTCACAGTGCCGTGTACGCCACGTCACTTTCGCCACCTGTTGTGGAGCAGATCATCACCGCCATGCAGTGTATCATGGGGAAGGACGGCACCACTCTCGGTAAGTCTTCCTTTCCGTAGAACATTTCCTGGGCTTGGGAAGTACTTAGCAACCAAACATGTTCTTGAGCTTTTTTTTCCTAAAATGAGGAGCAGGTGTCCTAATTGACAAGTTGGCAGGTGAGTGAGACCTTGGTTTCTATGGACACTTTTTAGTATGTTTGACACACGTGCTATATAATAACAAGTCTGACTCGTTTCCTGTTGCATTTTCTTCTCTATGGATGGTGAGGCTTTAATCTCACTACCTACCTACCCTCATAAGTCACAGGGTCTTTCTTGAATTGTAGTTTTATGTGAAGATATAATTCACTGTGTAGTGGTATTTCATTCCCATAGTATTTAAAAGCTACCATTTCTATGAATTTGTGTCCTTTTAAAAGAGTTTGTAATTTAAAATACAGTAGTAGCTAATAAAAAGTCATCCTGAATCTGTTTAGTCTGTGTTTGGTGGGATTTGTAGTGCAAACTAAATACCCTGACTTTATTAAATATACTATTGATAAAATGAACAGTAGTTTAACATTTGCTTTCTGATAGTTGACTTTTATTCTGCATCACTAGAGGGCAGTGTTGACTGCAGAAAAGTTAAAAGGGGAGCAGTTGGATTTTTTTGTTGTTTTCTCACTTATGAAAGTATTTCCACTGTGAGCCTGAGACATACATTACTTTTACTTGTTGCTTTTTTAATGCTTCTAAAATCAGTTTTACTCTTGTAAAACATCTCACATTCTCAGCCTTGAGATCTCCACTCTTCAGTTAAATAGTATTTCATGGCAAGATTGACTTGGTTTGCATTGAAAAACAAGAAAGAAGTGGTATGTCTGATTTTAATTGATTTAAGCCTGTTTTCTTAAACCAGAATTTTACCTTATTATTTCTGATCTGTAATACATTCTTGTTATCTCTCGTGAGAAATTTTTGGAAGTAGATTTTGGAAGTATTGATCATTTTCAGCTTCATGAATTGATTCCTTGGGAAAGAAAATATTTTATTAATGATGTGAACACAGCACGGAGCCTTGAGAGTAGCTCCCTCTTAACAATAGCTACAGTGTTATCCTCCCTTATCCCATGTTACTGCAAATAGTGGGCTTCGATCTGAGATATCTATCTATAGCCAGCACTTCACATAGATGCATCAGCCTTAGTGATTCAGCACAGATTTAGGTGACTGAAAAATGAATGGTTAACAGCTGTTAAAGTTAACTTGGGATAATTTCTTGGCTCTATCCTAGAGCATGGATCTGTTTGACGCATGACTTTTGGATAAATGACTTACCTGTACTAAATAATGGAATATAGGTGGTGAGAAAATTAAGTATGGTAATTAGGTAGGCTTTGGGTTAGCACTCATTTTCCAGTTTATCTGTCGCCTCTGTAACCACCCCCTAAGCCGAGTGGCGTGAAACAACAACCATTTTATATTCACAGATCCCGCGGGTCAGGAATAAGCAGAGATGGCTTGTCTTGGCTGCACAGTATCTGGGGCTTCAGCTTGGAAGACTCAGATGGCTGGGGGCTGGGGTCATCTGGAGGCTTCTTCACTCACATGTCACCTGGGCTGGAGTGACCTGAAGGCTGGGCTCAGCTGAGGCTGTTGACCAGAACACCTTCACGTGTCTTTCCCATGTGGCATGGGCTCCTCCTAGCATGGTGACTGGGTATCCAGAGAGAATGCTTCAGAGAGCGGGCAAGCTTTCCACAGAACCTGCTAGAACCCCATGGCCTTTCCTGATCTGTTAACAAACAGGTGACGAAGGCCAGCCCGGATTGCAGCGCGTGGGAAAGCAGACTCCACCTTAGATGGGAGGCTGGTCGATTAATAATTTGTTTTTTCAAATATAAATGCAATCTTTTATTTAATGCTGTTACTGATTTTCTCTTAGTGGGAAAACCTTCACATTTTTACGAGACAGTTGATTTGGCCTTCACTCTCTTAGCCAGGTTACTAGCTGGGTCCTCCTATAACCTCAAGCCATCATATGTAAGCTAGCTGTCAGAGCCAGGGTAGTGTGTGCTCCATTCTAACTGGCAAGTATCATCTCATTAATGATACAGATATGGAAACTGTAATCATGGAGGAACATTAAGAATCAAATTAGGGGCTGGCCGAGTGGCACGTTGGTTAAGAGCTGGCTTGGGATGCCAGAGGGCCCCGGTTCGGATCCCACATATGAGGGCCAGTGACACTGCCCTCCACAGCTAAGATGCTGAACAACAGCTCAACCTGGAGCTGGGCTGCCGTGAGTCGCTGGCGATGGCGGAGGCTGCAGCCCCTGTGGCAGTGGGTTGCCATGGGCTACCGTGTGTAGCCAGCAGCCAGCGTGAGCGGCCAGCAGCCGCAGTGAGTGGCCGTCCAGAAGCCGGCGACTGATGTGCCTCACCCGGGAAGAGCGCAATGATGGTGCCAACTTGGGCCAGTGAAGCAACGTCCTCCACAACTAGACTGAAGAACAAAAGAACAGCAACTTGTCTGTTCCCTTTCCCCCAATTTTCCAATAAAAATCTTTAAAAAAAAAAAAAAAAGAAATCGACAAGTTTTCTCAGTATCTTGTCTCAGAATAGAATGTGTTTTCCTGAACTCCATCTGCTTCTACTTCTGAAGTTGCATTATTGATATTTAACATTTTATTAAAATAGACTATTTTATAACCTATTTCTAACTGTCTGATTTCTGGTCTGCTTATTTTCCAAAAACCAGCAAAATTTACTTGTGAGTGATCAGCCCTGCAAATGAGAGCCCTGTGGGGCATTTGCCTACCTGTTCCCTCTCGGTGGGTCAGTGACCCCTTTTACCTCACTCCCTGCTCCAGACTGCCATTCTGAAGACTCATGAGCTTTCGTAGCACGGTCTGTTTCTTCTTCCACTCCCATCTCTTTCTTCCAAATCCAAATGCTAGTAAAAGTTTCTTGCCACAAGAGTGGTCTTTCCTTTTGTGTCTTGTTTCAGAGTTTGTTTGAAGCTGGCTATGAAGATGCCCACAGGCAGCCGGCTGGAAGCGGACCTTTGAACAAATGGAGACTTGTTCAATTAGTAAAAAATTGTTCTTAATACAAAACATAAATAAGGAGTTTGAGTACATTCCTCTGGGACAGGAAAGGAGCCCAGAAGTAGATGCCCCTCGTTTAGAAGATGTAGTGAGATAATATAAAGAAACTAAGCTTCAAAGTACCGTGAGTCAGGCCATTGTTTTTAAGATTGAAGTGGATGAATTACCTTCATTTTATTTCATAAGAAAATTTCCTTTAAAGATTTTTTTCCCCACAGTTGGATTGGTTCCGTTACTGTTAGGCTGAGACATGATCATTCCTTCAGCCTGTTCTTCTCATCACTTGCAATTGTGAACTTTATCACCCAGACTGTGTTTCGTTTGTTGAAGAAAAATAACTTTCTAAACCGTAACATGGTTGGGGTTGCATTTTCTCCTTGGAATTATTCCTGAGAACTTTGTCTGGGACACTCGATCCTAGCTTTTTGGCACCTTCATTGCTGTTTATTGCCACAAGAATACTTAATATGTATAAACAAGTGACAAGATAGAGGGACTGTTCTCAGTTAAGAGCCAGATACTCCATGATGGCTTGCCAGATTGGAGAGCTTTCTGAAGAGGAATTTTTTTTTTTTAAAGGTCACCCATGTTTTTTCGAATTATCTAAATATGTGTATCAGCCTGCCATCTTTGGTGGCACTTCATTAAGGTGTCCTCCTTTAAGTCTCTGTTCTGAAACATGGACAACCTGGTGCTTCCTGACGGCGCTCACACATAGGAAAGCTCAAACACCAGTGCTGCTGTCAGGTCCCCTTTGCAGACCAGGGAACATCTGGGGGTGAGACCCCGGCAGCGTGTTATTTAAAAGCACCCCAGATGATTTTAATGTGCAGTCTGGTTGAAACCACTGCTGTAGAGCTTGTTAAAAACAGGGCTTCTAGTCCACTCTACGAGACCACTGAGTCTTGGTGGACATGGCCCTGATACATGCGTTTTAAAGAAAACCTCAATTGAACGATGCAAACTAACTTAAGAGATATAAGAGATAGCTGTAAGGGTTACCACCCCCCACCCTTTTTTTTGTTCTGTTTGAGTTTGCTTATATCAAAGAGAACCAAAAAAGCACCTCTGATTGGTGGTGATTGGGGAAAGGAAAGGAAATCGGAAGGGAAGATATATGATCTCTTTGAAAAGAAATAGGGAAATGTTGACTTGTGGAACAGGAGTTGGTGGTAAAGCTAAGTTGCCAATTTCCATTGTTTTTTGGACATCTGAGTGCCTTGGTGCTGCCTTCTAAAGAGCTGATGACCCTTGCTGAATCAGTCAGTATCACAGGTGGAGAAGCTTGAAACCAGCTAGGGGAGGGAGAAGAGAGAACTAAGGATTCAGAGACCTCTGGTTGGAATCACTTTTGTTTTACGTAACCTAGAAATGGCCTCGCCCACTATAAACATGTTTTTAATGCTCAGCAGTTGGTGGGACTTACTCTTGCCTTGCCTTCTACCTTTAAAACTGTTTAATTCCAAGCCTGGTTTTACCAGTGGCTGCCTTAATTGTCAATAACCCCCTTCCTCTGAAGGTGGGTGCTTGCGCGCGCAGCGCACATATTGCTTCATTCCTGTAGTTCTAAACGTCTTGTAATATGTTCCAGCCCCGAAGGAGCTAGTAGGATACTCTTTGGACAAATTAAGACTTTCTGTCCTGGCCTTGAGCTGGCACCCTTTAAAACTCAGTTCCTTAATTTTTCAAAGGCACTTGGCCTTTTTTCTTCCTTTTGTTTAAGACCCTCTTTCTGGCTGTGCATTAGCAACCATGCTTTTAAACTCTTGATTGTATTGAATCAACAACTTTAAGCCTTGGCCCCTGCTGCTTGTCGCACATCCTGTGGCTGTCCTCAGGAAATCCTAGTTTTTGGCACTGGAACTAGTTAAAGGATTAAGCTACTACTAGGGAGGGGGTGATAAAGGTGCTTGTGAGAGGAATGTACTGTACAGTGTTTGGTGTTAACA